ATACCGCAGTCAGCACGGACGAGGACTCGGGCTTGGACACGTTGTGACTATTGAAGAAGATGGATTCTCGATCTGCAAGAGGAGGAGCAGGGCCAACGTTAGAGCTGTCCCACCGCCCGACACCAGGGGGCAGTGACACCCTGCCATGGAGGCAGCCACTCAGGGCTTCTGTTCCGCTGTCCTTCCGCAGGACAATGACAGTGCTGGCCACCCTCTGCCCGCTGGCATCCCCATTCCAGTGTGTCCATGGAAACTTCATGAAGCGACGGATGGGTGGAGAGGCGCAGGAGTGAGCACTGCTCCGTCTGTCCGTCCCACAAGCCTCACCCCGTGGCTGCCCTAGGACTCTGGGGGAGCCCCTCGGGAACTCGCCAGCAGGTATGGCTAGGGGGAGCCCCCTCACACACAGTGGTTCTGTGGGCCCCCCGGCCCGGGAGGAGGACAGATGTTTCTGCCTGGCTGTGGATGTCCCCAAGAGCCTCCACCCACGCCCCACTTCTCGCCCACCCTGGGCCTCTGAATCCGAGAACAACGACGGTGACCGCAGCCCCCAGGTGAGCGAAGTCCTGGGCCACACAGGGGTTGCAGAAGGACCGTCTGTTGAGCAGATGCACGCTCTCGAGCCCCTGAAGCAGGGCCCAGAATGCAAGAATCACGAGATCATGAGCAGTCACGGAGCCCCCTGACCCCTCCGGCCCAGGCGAGAGCTCGGAGGCGCCGGTGATCATGCGTTGGAGTGATTCGGGTGGAGGCCAAGCAGGCGAGCACGAGGTGTACCTGGCGTCCTTCCTGCTAGCGGCTCGCACAGGCCCCTGGCCGCCCCGCTGGGCCTCACTGTCCTCCCGCTTCTGTGACCAGAGCCTGGGGAAACAGACACCCCACAGGGCTTACACAACCCGCCCACCAATCTCTAGCTCTGGGGGCATAGAAGAGGGCCTGCAGGCACGGCTGGCCCGGACCCAGCACAGCCATGCTGGCCTTCTGCAGGTATGCCCAGCCCAACTGCCCGAAGACTAGCTCCAGCTGCCACCCACCCACTCACCCTCAGTTTCAGAGCAAGGAGCACAGAGGGACCAGCAGACCCCCAGGCCCATGGCAGACTGCCACCCCACAGCAGGGGAAACACCACTGCTCAACTCCTCTCATGAGCAGCTTCCAAGTTCCCCCAAAGCACGTCCAAAGGGGTCAGGGTCCCAGGAGAACCCCCTGGCCAAAGCTTGCCCCCACTCCCCATAGGATCTTCCGGCAGCCTGAGGGCCCCAGACCTCTGCACAGACCTAGGACTCCAGGCCCTTCCTCCCTCCCTGGCCTAGGCCCTTGTTCACAAGGGCACCCTGGTTTTCTGGGGCCCATCCAATGCCCTCCCTGGACCAGTCCTGGTGCACACACAATCCGGCTGAGAGGAACTGCCATACCCGGGGGCTAGGGGGGGAGTATACCTGGAGGAGGGGAGCAACAAGAGGCCCAAGGGCGAGCCCGCCCCCACTTCACTGATGAGAAGAATACAAGCTCCCGAGGGCAGGACCCTCAGCTGCCTAGCTCTACCTTATTCCCTGCACACACTCCATTCCATCACTCCCATCAAATCGAAGTTACTATCCAACAGGGTCACTAGGAGTTGGGACCCCGAGGGCAGTGGGTTTCTCCAGCGGGTTCAAACTGCCAACCTTCTGACAGGCAGCCCAGTGTTTTAACGATTGATCAACAGGACTTGGTAAGCTGCAGTTCAGATCTGGCCCCTCACCTGTGATTATACATAAAGTTTTATTGGGACAAAGCCACACCTGCTTCTTTATAGATCACCCTCGGCTGCTCTCTCCCTGAATAGCTCTTGGGGAGTGGAGAATATTCACCATCTGGCCCTTAGCAGACTTCCACTCTCCGCAGCACACGCTCCCTGTGTGGCTGTAAGGCAGTGGGTGCTGGAACCATTCAGGGGGCTGCAAAAGCAGATGCTACCCTTTATCCTGGATTACGAGCAAGAACACAACAGCTTGTCATTGTTTGCCACTTATTTTTCCCTGGACAGGGAGTGGCAGACCGAAGCAGCTTAGGAACCTTTGCTCTAAGGGGAACAAGGCCCACGTTAGGGATGTGAGGGAGGACCCCAGCACAGAGTTGGGTGCCTGGGAGTGGGGTTGGGAGGGAGGACTGTCTGCCAGAGTAAAGGTATACGAGGAGTAAGCCCACCCCCACAGGAAGAAGAGCAAGAAGACTGCTCATCTTTAGCCAGAGGAAAGTGCCTGCCAGAGGAAAGGAACCTACCACCGGCTGACTGGGAACGGGAGCCTGGTGCCGCGCCTAAGGGCACATCCATCTGTCTGTGGGTGTACTCCAGTCCCAGTAAGACTCACTGGCGCGATCCCGCTCTCAGGGTTTCACTTCTGGAATGGACACTCCTGCTGCCCGCCCCCCCTACCCGTGCACACTGCCCTGAGCTCCCAGACCAACGTGCACTAGAAAGAGGGGCCTGGTGCGAACTGATCGGGAACTGGTCATGGGGACAGCCAAGGGCTAGCACTCGTTCTGTTTGCGTGGGGCCCACCACGAGTCATCACGGCGGCAGCTGACACCAAAGTGCCTTGAGAGCCCAAACACTGGCAGCTTGAAATGCAGACTTGTGTCCTCGTCCTTGTGCAAGGTTCAGAACCACCTCCACTCACGGACTGCGGGAGCTGCCACACAGGCCACAGGCACCAGAGGGCTGGGGGTGTGGGTAGGGGTGGGGTGGGAAACAAGGCTGGTAGAGGCCAGGCCACTAGTCCCTCTCCACTGGTCCAGTTTGAAGGACCACTGCCCCATTAGTCAGTCACTGTACATCAGGTCGAAGAGCAAGAGGTCAAACCCTGCACGTGCTCTCCGGCCTCGAGTCCTGAGGACAGTGGACACGGGATCAGCTTTTGGGGCATAACACCCTGGAGAGTTCCCAGTTTACTCCCCCGGGTGTCCCTGTGTCTGTCCTGACCTGCATTTCATGGGAACCAGGAGGCATAAAAAGGGCCAGTTGTTGGGGGCGGAGGCTGGGTGGTCAATTTCTCCTGGAGGTCTAAAGATTCTGGTGAAAGATACAACTGTAAGATAAAACGACTGAGTTTTTCAGAGCTTCCATGGAACTAAAGCACGCAACTAAAAACTTTCCAAAGTAGAGCATTTTCTTGTCCTTCTACGAAAAGGGCGGACTCTCCTTGCCCACTGTCTGTCTGAGTGCGTCTCATGCCCACGACGTGGCTGCCGAGTGACCTTGGGCTTATGTGTTTTTTTTTCATTGTGAACTTGGTAGGGGCGTTGCTTTCGGCTCACAGTGACCCCTGGGGCAGAGGGGAGCTGCCCCCAGGAAGTCCTTTGCTGTCATCCTGACGGGAGGAGATTGCCAGGCCTTTTCCCGTCTCCCACGGAGCTGCTGCCTGGGTGTGAACCACAGGCCTTTGGGTTCGCAGCCGAGCACACTGGCATTTGTGGCTGCCAACATTGGCCCCCGTCCTAGATCATTCCCCATCCCTGCGGGCAGATGCCAGGGGCGGGGCTGGGACCCTCCAACCCCACGGCTGGCCTGGCAGACCCTGCTAGGGAGGGAAGAGGCTGCTGTTGACAGCGTGTTTGTGCAAAGAATAACGCCATTTGGGGAAAGGGGAGAACAGCCGAAGCTCATTCTAGAAGTTCTTGTGGAGAACTACATGGCGGGAGTGACAGGGAGTCTCAGGAGGAGGGGCTTTAAGAAGACACATGTTTGCGGAGATGGGGCTACAGCAGCCAGCCGGGCTACTTCCCAGCCTCAGGGAGCACACACTTCCCTCCTGTGACGCAAGTCCAACGTTTCCTTCAGACACGTGGACGATATGTCTCCCTCAGTTACATGAAGTTCCCCTCAGAGACACACGTACAGGATGTTTTCCTGAGAAAGACACATACAATGAGATTTCCTCAGGGACACGGGTATACATGTTTCCCTCAGAGAGACACATGTATGTGTGTGAAGGGACGCAACGACCGGTCCGTGCAGCACCCTTCCTGGGAGTCCTCTGGAACGCTGCGCTGTCTCAGACTGTCACTGCTCCAAAGGCTTCTGGAATGTGCCGTAGGGCTTGCCTTCAGAGCCAGGAGAGCATGTCTCTGACCAGCGCCGGTGTGGGAGACCTGGGGCTGAGTCAGTTGTGAAGGCTGTCAGGCCTGGGACCAGGTGGACAGCAGGTGTGGGAAAGCCTGGACGTGAAGGCCCTTAGCAAACTTGCTGGCTGTGTGCACCAGGGCCAACTGGAATATGCCCTGGGGCAGGGCACTGCCCGAGGAGCACGAAGCGCCCCTGCCCACTGTGTGGACCCTATGTGGCAAATAAAAGGGGACCCCTTTACAAGGTCCCATGGGCAGAAAGACCCGTGGCAGGCTACAGGCAGGGAGGCCTCAGCAAGTAGCCTGGCCTTTGTCTCCAAGTATCAATGTGGGTCTGCACCCCCCATCCCATCCCTCCCTCCCTTCCTGGTAGGCAAGCAGATGGTGCACTGACCACATTTACTCTAGCAGCCTCTCTTCCAGAGTCCTGCCTGCTCGGGCCCCGGGTGCAGAAACCTTCCAGAGGCTTCCTGGAGTTTAAAGAGGGCGCACTGGGTGGAGCCCCCGCCACGCGAGGTGGCAGGGATCTGGAACTCATTCTCCAAAACCTTCCTAGGTGTGGGCCTACGCAATGCCACGCACACCATCATTTCCTGTCCCCACCTCCCATCTCAGACACAGCGTGTGGGAGAGGTCAGGGGACGGGCAGAAGGACAGGTAGTGGGTACCATCCCAGCTATGCCCCAGTCCCAGGATCACCCGGAATAGATCGAGGCCTGCTTACCTGATGTGCCCGCAGAGAAGTTCTTGAGGGAGGGTCTCTGCACCACGGTGTAGGACTCGCCGACCACAAACACCTTGTACAGGACGGCGTTGTGGTTGATGAAATTCTGGACCACGCAGGGTGGCTGGATGGCACTCAGGCCCTCCTGGTTGAACACGATGGCCATCTGGGGAGGCAAGGACAAAGGGGGTCCATCAGAGGGTCCAGAGCCCAGAAGAACAGCAAGCAAGGGCACCTGGAGGTTGCTTGTGCGGTGGGGTTTGGGAACCCTGAATCTGTCAGGTTTGCCAGGGAGGGCTGCACAGGCTGTGCACTGTCCACCTCTGGGAGGATGGGCTGCCTGGAGAGGGCACCACTCAGTCCACAGGATGTGCAGAGGAAGGGGGTGGCAGGCTCCGGCTCAGGGTCGGAGGCTTTGGATCAAGCTTGAATCCTGAGAAGAGCTGGTCCGACAGGGTTCACAACATGCAGTCCCACCCTAGCCATCACATGTCAGCTGCCTAGGGTCGTCCGCACAATTCGCCTTTGAGGTGGGCACTGTTATCACCCCTTGGCTTACAGATGAGCAAGCTGCAGTCTAAGAAGTGACATGTAGGAATGGGAGGGGCCCTGGGATGGACTCAGGTCTGCCCGGCAACAGGCTGGCCCTCTTACCCCAGAGTCCCATGGATGTTCCGAGCAGCAGGGAAAGGCCGGTGTAGGCTGCTCCCCACTCCGCATGCCCTGGGACATGGAGGGGACTCAGGATGGAGGGGTAGAGGAGGCAGCCAGGTCTGCCCCACGGTAGGATAAAGGAACCAGGGGTCAGGCGGCGGCAGACTTAAGTCAGCTGTTGGGCTGGGGTTTACAGCTAATCCCCAGGCCCACAGGGCCCCAGGCAGGAGCCACCAGATGCCCGGGGCTGGATGAGCAGGGATTACAGGGCCTGGACAGCTGGCCGCCAGTACTGGTGGCACCTCCACATCAGCTGTCACACAGTGCTGCCCCCTAGGAGCCAGGCACACAGCTGGGTGTGGCAGAAGCAGACATGTAGGCTTCGGTGGGAAAGCAGAGTGTTCGTGTGTGCATGCACAGACGGTGGGGTGGGGTTGGGGGTGGGGGTGGCGCGTTGAGCCCCAGCGCTAGCATGAGGAGCACGGGGCAGCCCAGGATGCTGGGAGCTTTCTGTTTGTTTCTTGTGTTTTCAAAAAGCGAGAGGCTCCAAGGAGGGTCAAGCGAAACAGAGAAGCCACGTGGCTCTGTGAACACAGTGAAAAGGAGTGGTCCTGGCCATGGAGGCTGGGAGCTAGTCCTCCTCCTGGTTGGAGAATTTATTTAACCAGGCCTAAGTCTCTGCCCTGGGAGCCCTGGTGGCACTGTGGGTCAGGCTACTAACAGCAAAGTCAGTGGCTCAGACCCATCAGCCACCCCCCAGAGAGTGATGAGGCTACGCAGAGGTGCTATGGCTGGTTTCTGCAAGCCACTGGGCAGGGAGGGGCTGGTCAGGGCCAGGGCTGAGGCTTCAAAGGCAGGGCCTGGACAGTCTGGGATAGGAGGGAGGACCCACCCCAGAGAGAAATGCCCACTTTTCATTCCTAAAGGCAGTCACCAGGCAAGCAGTCTGTCCTCCTGTGAGATCTCCACTGACTGCGCTCTCGACCTCCCAGTGGCCAGAGGTCCCTCGGAAGAGCAGCGCACTTTGCAGGCAGTGGCTCCGAAATGCACAGGTGGGGGAGGGGAGGCCACACTGGAGCCAGGCTGGGACAGATGGATGAGGGGGGTTTGGGACACCCAGGGGACAGTTGATGGCTGCGGGCTCAGCAGGAGTTTCCACATTTCATACCCTTTACCTCCACAATTACTCAGCATGCTGCTGGGTACCCTGACATGAGGCCCACTGCCACAGCTTTGGATGGGGACTCCCTTATCCCTCCAGAGTGACCGTCTGATCCTGTCACAGGAGGGAGAAACGGATCCCAGACCCACACTGACCGACTGGGATGGAGGCTGGTCCATCACACACCACTGTTCACAGTCACCCTTCCACCCCAACCCCCCAGAGCCCGACAGGCAGAGGGCAGGTGGTGGGGAGCGGGATGGGCTCTGTGAACAGAGCTCTGGCTGGGCTGGGTTCTACAGCCCCTACCTAGGCTTGGCCGGGAAGCACGGAGCCCTGGCAGGGAGAGGAACTGAAGGAGGAGGTGGGGCAAGTGGCAGGTGTCCACTCACCTCATGAGAGCTGGTGCCATGAGCCACTCTGGTTTTGCAGACTAAGGACAGGAGAGAGAAGCAGAGAGGATTAGTGGGGTCATCAATGCAACCTGACTGATCCCGCGGGGCACCTGGTGTGACTAGAAAGAAGCTCTCAGAGCCCCAGAGGTCACCTGGGGCCTATGGCTCTGCCTGACCATGGCAGCCCTGTACTTAGGGCTCTGTGGCTGGGCACTGGGGTAGCCAAGGCCACGTGCCACATGCCACCCTGAGCTGGTCGGGGGTCCGCTAGCGGTGCCAGGCGGGCACGGTACGTACTGAACGGGAAGGTCAGGCCATTCTTCTCCAGGAGCTGCATGGTGTCGTCCCCGCACAGGCTCGTGAGCTCCATGAAGGGTGGGGAGCAGATGCGGTCATCTAGGGGTGGGGGGAGAGAGCAGTCAGACCTCGTCTCATGTACTGTGGCCATGTTATTAGGAGCACTAGTGCCTGGAGAGAGGAAGTCCGGTGGTGCAGCGGTAATGCACTGGATTGTGATCTGCATGGCCGGTGGTTGGAAACCACTAGCAGCTCCAAGGGAAAGAGACTGGGTTTTCTAATCCCATAAACAGTTAGTCTTGGAAACCCACAGGGGAGTAAGGGGGCGGGGGGGCAGGTCACTATGAGTTGGCATTGATTCAATGGTGCTGAGTTTGGTTTTTTGATGTCAAGTCCCTGGAGAAAGGCATCCGGCTTGGTAAAACGGAGGGGCCGTGACACAGACAGGCTGACCCAGGTCCTGCAGTGCTGGCTCCATAAGACTCCGACAGCAGGTCTGACCCAGTCCCTCCAAGCTAGGGGCATGCAGAAAAATGGATACGGTTTTGTGACCGACGAGCTCTGGGGGTGTGGTGGGTTACACATCGTCACGAAACCACAAAGCCAGCAGTTTGAACCCACCAGCCGCTCCACAACAGCAAGATGAGGCCGCCTGCTCCCATAAAGATGTTCAGCCTCGGAAACCCAGGGGGACAGTTCTACCCTGTCCACAGGGTTGCCATGAGTCGGAGTGGACTTGATGGCAGCAAGGCTGGCCTTTGGGGTTTGGAGTTTTGTGACAGGAAGTTAATCAAGTGCACAGCTTCCTGGGTCAGTGAGGACTCTCCTCTTGGCTGTGCGGGAGCAGCAGTGCCAGCAAGCAAGGCACTGCATCCTATCTAGGCCTGTGCCCAGGGCTGTGCCTACAAACAACCCCGCGAGGAGGAACTGGAGGCCAGGGCATGAAAGTGTGTCTCCATGGCCACCTTGCAAATCCTCCACCTGGACAGAGGCAGGCCACTGCCCACCACAGGGCGTGAAACACAGCAGCTCCTCACTCATCTCAACAGCTTGCAGGTCTACCCAGCTCCCCCGTCCTGTTGCAGCAGCACCTTCTGCCCCCCATGCCCATTCTCTTCCCCTGGGGGCAGACCCCACCCCACCCCACCCCAAGCTGTGCAGCCCCAGGCTCCTGGCACCAGCTGAGCCACGTCTGAACCTCTCTGCTGAACATGAAGTGGCCAGCTCGCAGTGACTTTTCTTATGTGCGCTGCTGTCTTCTCCCTTAGACCTCAGGTCCCTCCTCAAGGGTTGTAAGGGCCACTCTGTAGTTCTGGGCACAGGGACCAGGGAAGGCAGGTCACTAGTGGGGGCAGTCTCCCCAGAACACAAACCAGTCCACAGAAGCTTGTCCCCAGGAGCGCTTCAGTGACTTGGCTGGCGGGGGAGCCAGTACATTAAAACTCATGCAGCTCGGAAAGAATAGATGCCAAGGAGTTCGTAACAGCGCGTAGGCCAAGGGATTTTATCACACACACACACACACACACACACACACACACACACACACACACACCCTTCCGGCTGTGGGCACTGCAAACACGGGGCTCACTTCCCCCTCCCAGAACTTCAGCACCTTCCCAACCCTGAGCCATGCACTCCCTCTTCAAACCCCAGTGGTCTTTCTGCAGAAAACAACACATGTATCCTAAGAGTCATAGTGGAATGCAAGATACATAGAATGCTGATTTTAAAAAAAGGGGGAACAGAGCTGAAGACTCACTGCCCAATGTCAAAGCTTACTAGCATGGCCACAGTAGTTGAGACTGCCAGGCTACGGCATTTAAAGATAGGCACACACAACGAAACAGAAGTGAAAATCCAGGCATCTACCCGGATCTCTATCCACAGTCAACTGGCTTTCCACGGGAGTATGGAGGGCATTCCGTAGAGGAAAGAAAGGTTTTTTCGACAACCAGTAGGGACAGCTGGCTAGAAGAATGATGTCGCATCCCTGCCTCACGCACATGCACAAATTCTAACTCAAGATGGATCCAAGACTCAAATGCTGGAGCTAAAACTAGGAGGCTCTTGGAAGAAAACCAAGGTGTGAATCTTTGAGCCCTTGGCTGAGGCTATTGCTTCTCGAACAGGACAGAACAGTAAGATAAACTGGACTTCACCGAGAAGTCAAATGACTCACCACGTGAATGGGGGAGAATGTTTACCAACCACAAATACAAGGGGCTTGCGTCCAGAAACCATATAAAGAACCAGTAACAATTCAACAAGGAAGATGACTAACAATTCAAAAGGAGCACCGGTGACTGGGTTACAAGATGGCCTGCGAGTCGTAAGGTCAGCAGTTTGATCCCACCAGCTACTCGTCGGAGAGGAAGACAAGGCTTTCTGCTCCTAAAAAGACTCACAGCCTCAGGAACCCCAAGGGATAGCTCCATTCTGTCCCCTGCAGTTGCTGAGAGTTGGAATCATCTTCACGGCAGTGAGATGAGTGAGAATCCAACTCTTAAATGATTTGAGTAGACCGTTCTCTAACTACTATACACAAGCGCCAACAAATCAAGAGAACATGGCCATCAGGGAAGTGAAAACCAAAGCCATAGTGAGATACCACTAGGACGGCAAATTTAAAAACAAGAAAGAAAGAAAGAAATAGCAGGTGTTGGCAAGGCTGTGGAGAAACCGAAAGCCTCCTTCATAGCTGGTGGGAATATGAACGAGCGCAGCCCCTTAGAACACAGCTTGGCCGTTCTACAAAAAGCTAAACAGGAGCGCGAGAGCACAACACCCAGTACACACGCCCACGGGAGCCAAAAACACACAGCCACCCCAAAACTCGCACACAGTGGGGAACGGGGTGTTGAATGAGTGGCCTGGGACCAGTCCAAGCACTGAGCCAGCCTGCCGCTCGCTCGGTGGACTCTCCCTGAGAGCCAAGGAAAGGAGCGGCAGTCAGTGCGTGCACCCAGAGAGCAGCAGGCTGGTGGGAGGGCTGACGAAGGCCTGGCCCCAAGTCCAGCAGCCATGCAACCCCACCCCCCAGTTGGGGACAGCCAAGGTCTCTCCTGCTCAGCCATGGGAAACGTGTCCAGCATCTTGTCCCTAAATAGAGCCAGGACAAACGCTCCTTCTGTGATTCGGCACCCAGCTATTTCTGTTTCCTGAAAAAGGCTAGTGTTGCTTAATTTATCGTCTTTATTTCTGGCCTGTAGTTAGGGTGGCTCATGTTCTTGTAAGAACTGCGACAAGGATCCTGGGAAATGGGAAGAGTCCCAACTTCCCACTCCGCCATCCACCATGGGGAATGTGAGGCTGGAAGGTCCTGGCAAGGGGTTCCAAGGCCGCACACAGGCTACCAGACCCTCGGTGCCCTGTCCACTCTACCGGGCAGCCTTGCTCTCACCTGACAGGTGGGACCTGCTCAGGCCTGGCAAGAAAACAGGCAAAGGGCCGGTGATGAGGAGGGGTTGGGACCAGCTTGTTAAGGGGCAGTTCTGGGGCCTGGCTTTGAACTTGAACAACTGCCGCCTACAGCAAAGGACTGCACTTCGCAGAGCCCTGCCGTCCTGGGCCCTAAAACAGGAGGGCAACTAGGGGCTGTCTCCCGAGAGTCAGGCAGCAGAGACCACACCGGGGCAGGAAGGTAGCCCTGGCTGGGTGCGATGGCAGTGAGTCTGCCCCAATGTCCTTCTGTGGGGCCAATTGACCTTCTGGACCTAGACAACCAGCTCATCTCCTGACAAAAACCTAGCGGTACACAACGCCACCAGGGCTCCATTTACGGACCAGGAGATCCCCTTGCTGGTGCCCTAAGCCCCGAACCACCCTCTCCCCCAAGACCCCAGCCTCCAGCCACCCCAGCCCACCTCATCCAGCCCGCCACCCTCTTTCTGCAGCTCCCACCTACACTGAGCGGGTGGGCTGCCAGCTCGGAGACTGACCACAACCTGAGGGAGGGTCCTGATCACTCCAGCCTCTGCCCCTGGACTCTGCCCACCTTCCCAACTCCACTCTGACTGCAGAACCCAAGAGCATCCGGGCTGATCCTGGTTCCTTGCAGGGTGGTCTCCTGACCACTCCCCCTCACCACCACACCTCTGCCACTCCCTCTTCCCTGGACACCTTGCTCAGCCTCAGTGAGCAACAGCCACATTGCAGGTTCCACCTCTTGTGCGGTCACCTTCTTGTGCTGCTCATCTCTCATGCCCTCTTCTCCACGCCTGGATTCCGACTCATTAACTGGGCAATGCCTCCCTTGGGGCAGGACACTAGGTTGACCCCAACGCTCTGAGAGGCAGGGGCAGCCTGCATTTCCCCAAATAGCCACCACGTGGTGCTGCTGGCCTGGAACCGCTCTGGAGACTGTAGTGTGGGACTGAATGGGTAAAGCCCATTCACATCATTTTTCTTTAGACACCTGCCCTCTTCTATTCCTTGTTAGAGAGCTGGAACCTTCAGTTCTAGACAGAGGTGGATGCGCCCTCAATTCAAGGGGACCCGGCTTTCTCTCCTGGCTGATGTGGATAGTGGCAGTACCGGGTGAGCAGCCATAAGTCTGGGCCACGCGGAGAGGCCTGTATGGCTGTAGGTGTGGAAGCCAGAGTTGATCCCGATCCAAAAGACCTGAGAGCAACACGTGTGGGTCCACACCTCCCTTCCTCAGGCTACTCTCCTTCCCAGGGTCTCATGCAGGTGGGAGCCTTTTGGTTAGATGGGGTAAGGGGAGCAGGAGGACAGGGGTCTGGTGGTCTATGGATAGAGCCACAGTGGGGAAAGGCTCCCCAATGGAACAGTGGTTTAAACACTTGGCTTCCACCCAAAAGGTTGGCAGTTCAAGCTCACTAGTTGCTCTTGGTGAGAAAGATGAAGCAGCGGCTTCTGTAATGACTGACTGCCTTGGAAAGCCTATGGGGGAGTTCTACTCTGCCCGCAGGATCGCCATGAGTTACCACCCATTGTCAGCCAGGGTCTGCTTTGGTTTTGGTTAATAAATGCCAGGAATACCCCCCACAGCTAGAAGGAAGTGTCAGTGTAGGGCCCTGGGAGGAAGCTGGGGCCACAGCACTGGTTCTGCAGGGGACGGTAACCAACCACCTGTC